GTCTTCCTGGAGAGAAATTTCTCATTGTCTGAGCCATGGCTTGCTTATTGCCTCCAGGTATATGGAGCACTCACAAAGAGGATGTAAATCTATTCATCTCCTGGTCCACAGAGGACTGAAGCCTGCTGCAAATCAAGAGGATTTGGGTTCCACTTCCTGGTCATCAAGACAACAATACCCTCGGGTGGTTCTTATGAATTGTTGGATTCACCCTCCCCAAATTAATGGCTAAGTGCCAGGCACTGTTGAGCTGCAGGAATTCCTGGACCAAAAGTACAGTCCTTGTCTTTAGGACCTTCCCCTGGTGCCATGCTGGCTGGAGCCTGGGCCCAGCTCAGCACGGAGGCAGGTGGGTTCTCTGTTAGCTTTTTCACTCACTCACTGTTGACCTCAGACTGGACAGCGGTTTTCTCCCCTGTCAAATGGGGTAATAACTGTTCTACTTAACAGGATTTTATGAGGCTCAAACATGATAGTGGGAGCGAATTGGCTTTGAAAAGCCTTTCCAAGGTATATAAACACAAGGGATTATAGGGCGAGGTCCCTTTGGCTCAGTGGTGCTGTGAAGCTGTGTGCACAGCCCACAATCCTCCATGGAATTGGAAACTGTAGAATTCATTGCCTTTGGAGGTTCACTTTGTTGTGTGTGCACAGAGAAGAGGAACAGAGGTGGGGGGGCTGGCCTTTGCCTTTTATGGCAGTCTGGGAATTTGAAATACTCAAATCCATCATTCTTAAAAAGCTTTTTATAGTCCTTCAGAAGCTTATGTCTCTGCAGATCCACACATCACAGGTACACAGCTAGACAGGGCTCATTAAATCATGAGCTAACGCAGAGGCTAATTAAATGTTTCTGACACTTGTTACCATCTGCCGAGCTGGAGTGAAGTCTGAAAGTTCTGTGTGTTTTATTAAAGCCTCAAGTCACCACCACCCTGTGGGGCTGAGCTCTCATGGTTTGAGCCCAAGAACTAGGGAAACAATATCAGAAGATGGATTCGATCCTTAACTGATTTCCATTTTAAGACACAAGCTGTGGGGATTATTACAAAATTACTTCAGTTAATTAAAAAAGAGAAAAGCTTTGAAGTAATTTACTAGTGTTTATGTATTTTGTCCCAGAGTGGTCTCTGCGGATATACTAAATTCCGGGACTGTGTGGCTTTCTCTTATCACTGACTGCAACAGAAGAATCTGTGAGATTAATTATTGACATTGATTTTCTTGATCCTTCAGTAACTTGGAAGAATCCTGGTTAGTCGGGCTTAATAAATTGATCGACTGGTTTCTACAAAGTAGCCCCTCTACTACTCCTCCTGTAAACACACGAAATGTTCATTTCCATGGATGAAGGGAGGAGGATGGGCTGTCATCACGTCCCCCCAACCCGCCGCGCTCCCTCTCTCCCCAAGCCTTTTTTGTTCATTGGCTTCCTGGTTTAGATTCAGTTCTAGGAGAAAGGAATAAGAAGCCTTTTACTCAAAAAGAGTGGGGTGTCTACTTTTTCCTTAATGATTTGTAAGGATTCTTGATATATTCCAGACACAACTCCTTTGTCAAATATATGTGTTGCACATCTCTCCCTCCACTCTGTGGGTTGTTAGTCCTTAATAAGCAATCAGTGCCTGCCAACCTCAGGAAAAAGAGAGAGAACCACGCATTATAGGGTATTGATAAAGGCTACTTATAAAGTAGTCTTACCAACACATCAAACCTGAGTCTGACCAAGCTGCCTGATCTAACTACTAATCCACAGGAAACATGGGGGATGGGGGGAGCTGGCAAGCCACACCACGGACAGGGTGTAAGATTCAGCTCCTGGGAATTTCTACAAGACAGGTGATCCTCCTTTTCAACTAATAAACAAAATGGGTGGATTACAAGAAACTGAAGAACCATACCAACCAATTACAATGTTTGGAATTTATTTGGATCCTGATTACAATAAACCTGTAAAAAAAAAATCAAGACACTTGGAGACATTTGAACACTGGATATTTGATACTGTGAAGAAATGAAGGTTATTTCTTAGAAGTGTTATAATGAGGCAGTGGTTTTTGTCTTTGTTTTTAGGAGTCCTTGCCTTTCAGAGATGCCTCCTGAGGTACCTATGGGTGAGGTTGAGGATTTGTTTAAATAGAATCTGATGGAGGAGGTACTGGGTGGGGGATGGGATGAAAGTGAATTCACCAAGGGTTGATCACTGTTGAAGCTGGGTAACAGGTCCATGGATATTCACTGTAGTGTCTGTGTGTGTGAGTATTTGGAATTTTCTACAATAAAAAGGATTTTTGCTTCGAACCAGGGTGTCAAGTGATACATCACTAAAGTCTCGAGAGCAGTGAGTCCCTCCTCATGCTGTGCTGTGATTCTCTGGCTTCACCTGCTGCTGATCCTTAAGAGCCAGCCCTGTGTGCTGCCCCACTTTTGGCAGCTCCCTTCATTTCATGAGGATGGTGTGAAGGCTTCCAGTTGCCTAGCAATAGCTGGCAGCGAATCGATCCCCTGCTCTGCAGCACAACAGTCGAATATTGATTATCTGGGTGATTTGGAGATTTGACTCTCTGAATGAACAAATTTTTTTCCTGGGTAATTGATCAGGGCCATGACAGGGGCTGGGCAAGAGACATTGAAGAGAGGGGCTGCAATCAGGTGGAGAGACCGGCAAGGAAAAAGGGAGTATTTAGGGCAGAGGGTGGAGAGCAGCTGACTGATGTCCCCAAAGTCAGTGATGTCCCTGAGTACTCCACCCTTGAGCTCTGCTCTCCAAGACCTTCCAGAAGGAACTGCCCCTGATTCAGCACCTCCACTGCTGGACAGAGCCTCAGGGAGGCCAGGTTTCTGAAGGTCAGCCTCAACACTGCACATTCCCTGAATGTTGAGATGACCCTGTTACAGCCGGCTAGCTCAGCTGGTTAGCACACGATGTTCTGGAGGCCAAGGCCCCAGCCTGGAGCCTGGCATTGACCAATTGGCTCGAGCAGTTGAGCTAGCTTTGCTCTGCTTATAGCCATATTGATAAGCAATAGGGGGTGGCTGTTTGCTGGAAAGCCTGGTAAGATAATGGGCCTGACACCATGTAATGGGACCCTCATTCCCGGCAAAGCTACTGCAAGTTTATGCTCTTCTTTGGGGATGATCAGCAATGCCAATTGCTGCCAATTTCATATTCAAAAGAACAGCTGGGGAGAATGTGGAAGGAAAGGAAGCCTGCCCCCTTGAATTAGCTGACTATTCTTGTCTAACAACCAATTGCAAAACTCAATGGCATACAACAATAAGCATTTATTTCCCCCCATTTGTCTGTAGGTCAGTGGGGATTTGGCTGATCTCGTTCAGGCTCAGCTGGTCTCAGCTCCAGGATTTGACTGGGGTCAAGACCTGCTCTGTGCGCTCCTGTCCTCAATGGACCTGGAGTCGCTCAGGGCACATCCTAGTCATAGGAGAAGGCAGGTGAGCCAGAGGGCAAGCCCTTACTCACGAGTTTACTTCTACCCTTTGCTCATACTACATCTGCTAACATTTCATTGGTCAGAGCAAGTCCCAAGGTCAAGCTCAATATCAGTGAGACAGGGAAGTATGCTCTGCCCATAGTGTACACAATGAATACTTGCTGAACAGTAATTTAATTTACCTGAAAAGTGGTCTGTCTTATAGCTAGAACAGCCCTGAGAGAGACAGTGATGGGAAAGGGAAATCAACAGTGTATATGCCAGTTAGCAATGGCGAGGCAGGGTCTGTCTCTGGCCTTCCTGCCCTCGGTGGGTCCCTGAAGGAGGTAGAAGCAGGTAACTAATATAGGAACCCAGCAGCTGCTGGCTGCCCTCATGGGGGCCCAGGGAATCTTGGAGGCTAGGAAAATGTGTCTGCAGCTTTTCTGAGCTAAGCAGTCTTGCAGCATTAAAAGTTGTGTGTGTGTGTGTGTATCTCTATTTATAGACTCCTAAGGCGGGCAGGGATAAGGAAGGCCTCCATTAACACCAGACAAAGAAAGCAAAGGGATTGTCAAGTCTGCCAAAGATGTATCAAAGACGCAGTGGTGTTTGCACAGAAATCTCTGGCATGTAATAAAGGCTGGGAAGAGCAAAGAGACTGAAATTAAAACATAGGCTGGCTAGTTACTAAACACAGTGTTTCTTGGGAGGTGTTAGCAGCTGTTCAAATTCCAGAGCATGGAAGAGCACGTCATTCTGTCTTATTCACCTAGCAACTACACAGCACTCTGGCTGGGCACTGACAAAGAGTAACTGGACAGGCAAACCCATCGCCATCTGACAGATTCCTAGGTTAGCGCAAATAGCAGGTGGGCCCGGAGAGCCCCTGGCTAGTTCCCATAGCTGAACCGCAGAGAGTGGGAGAGGTTCTCTTTCCTCTTCCTGGGCAAAAGTGAGGAAAAATGGCATCAGTCCTGGTACATGGAGGAGCCATGGGCCCCTTCCCTGCCTCCTTCCAGCCACAATGCTTTTTCTGCAGATGTAGGATCAGAGACAAACAGGGCATCGCCTCTGAAAATGTAGAGAAGGCTCCCTGCAGAATGTAACAACGAGCTAAGTCTTGAAATATATTTAGGCCAAGAAGAGTGTATTCCAGGCTAACGACAAAATAAGAGGGGGACAAGGAGCCAAAGTCAGTGATGTACAGTATACAACACTTTAGTGTCCGCATCAGTCACCTAGTGCCACAATAATGCTTTGTAACAAATATCCTAAAATGTAGTGGTTGAGAACAAGAATCGTTTATTCGTGCTCAGGTCTGTAGGAGGGCTGGAGTGAAGTCACTGCACTCCATGTGCATTCACCTGGGGCCCCAGGCACGGCAGCTACCCCCAGGAAGCCCTTCTCCTGGAGACGGCAGAAGGACAAAAGGCAAGCTCAAGGACATTGCTCTTGACACTGCTGCCTGTGTCATGCCTGCTCGCTTCCCATTGGCCGAAGCAAGTCACGTGGCCAAACCTCTTCCCATTGGCCAAAGCAAGTCACATGGCAAAGCCTGAAGTCGAGGGGCCCGGAAGTACATTTTACCTTTGGCGGGGAGAACTGCGAATGCACATCATAAAAGGGGTGGATTCAGAGACAGATGATGAACTGGGGCCAATGCGTGCATCTAGCACAGTATCGGAGGGACATCTGCAAGCAATTCAACAGTTTGCAGGAGCGCTGCACGGGCCATGCGGTGGGAAGGAGAAGGCACTGCGGAGACGGGGAAAATGTGACAGCTGGAACCTCAGGTGCCGAGCGAGGAGCCTGGTCTTCCCCTGTGGGCACTAGGGGGCCTGCATTGGTCCACGCAGGCTGCTATACCAACATACCACCGTCTGCGGGCTTCAACGATAGACATTTCTTTCTCACAGTTCTGGAAGCTGGGAAGTCTAAGATAAACAGATTCAGTTCCTGGTAAGAGCCGTTTCTCTGGCCCGAAGACAGCTCCCTTCTTGCTCTGTCCTCACATGAGGGAGAGAGAAAGAGATTGAGCTCTCTGGTGTCACTTCTTTTAGGGGCCCTAATCCCATGAGGAGAAGCCCCACCCTGGTGACCTCTAAACCCAATCCCCTCCCAGAATCTTCATCCACAAATACCAGCACATTGGGGATTAAGGCTTCAACATATGAATTTGGCGGGCACAATCCAAATCACAGCAGAACCTGTAAAGAGTTTCAAGCTTCAGTGTGACATGACCAGGTCTGTGTTTTTTTTTGTTTTTTGTTTTTTAAAGATTTTATTTATTTATTTGAGAGAGAGAATGAGAGACAGAGAGCATGAGAGGGAGGAGGGTCAGAGGGAGAAGCAGACTCCCTGCCGAGCAGAGAGCCTGATGCGGGACTCGATCCCAGGACTCCAGGATCATGACCTGAGCCGAAGGCAGTCGCTTAACCAACTGAGCCACCCAGGCGCCCCCAGGTCTGTGTTTTTAAAAGTTGCCCCAGTGACCTGGCAGGAGAGATTTGAAGTGGGAAGACTAGTTGTGATACACTGTGTGTGTGCATGTGTGTGTGTGTGCACACATGCATTCCTCCCTCTATTTGAACAGGTTTGAACCAGCCTGTGGTCATAAGAAAAAACAGGAAGACAGCAGACCCAGTTTTGAGAAATACATTAGCAGTGAAAGCAGGACATGGTGACTGGTGGGGTGCGGGAGATCAGGTGATGTGAGCGGTCAGGGCAGACCTCCCGGGTTTCAACCGGGGACTGTGGGCACCAAACCCCTCCTGAGACTTCAGGAGCTGCTGATGTGAGGAGGAGGAGCAAGAATGCCCGGGCATCACAAACATCCTTCTGGGGAGCCAAACTGTTGGAAGGGGAGGGCACCGGGCAGGGCCCTCAGGGTCCCAAATGTGCCCAGCCCCCATGGGCACTCAGGAAGTGCGTAGTTGATGGAGATTGGCCTGGGCATTTGAATCTGGATTCCAGGGAGAACCCTGGCCTGGAGACACAGTTTGGGGGGCGAGGGGGGTCATCCAGATCCAGGTGGTCACATGACACCTGGGGATCAACTTCTCTGTGATATTCCTTCATGGTCTGGTTGATCATGATGGCCATTATGCTGGTTGCTGTTTTCTTTTTCTTTTTTTTTAAGTAAGCTCCACGCTGGGCTTGAACTCACGACCCTGAGAGCAAGACATGAGCTGAGATCAAGAGTCCACAGGTGCCCCATGCTGGTTGTTGTTTTTTTCCTAAGTGTTCTCCTCAGTGTTGAAGACTTCCCATCCCCCAGCATGGCCCTCCCGTCCTGCTGCAGGCTATTCCTGCCCAGCCCTCCAGGCCGGCACGCCCCCTCGCTGTGACTCCATCCCTCCTTCAGGCCGTGCCTCCTCCTGCCCCCTCCCGGACTTTACTCACAGCTCTGTATGGCCTTTCTCTCGCTTTCCATGTGCTGGAATGCTCCTCCTCATTCCAGGCCAACCTTCAATACCACCTGCTCCAGGAAGCCCTCCATGCCTCACGCCTCACCGCTCAGAAAGACGCCCTCCCTCCTCACTTGCACCTGCCGTGATGTAAGACCCAACAGTAAGGTGTATTTGAGATGCTGCCTTGATATCTTTGAGCCTCACAAGACCACAAAGGCCTGAGTTTGGCTACTCGCACCAGATACCCCCTCCCACCTTCCCCAGTAGCTCCCCTACCAGCCCCACCAGCTGCACCTCACCTGGTCCTCAGCCTCATGGGTTCCATCTCCCTGTCGCCTGCAGAATTATGCAAATTATTACACCCTCCATGGGAACCAGGGGGCACCTCACCCTCCTGTTAAAAAGCCAGCCACCCACAGCCCCTGGTTCTTCACTGCTCCTGAATGCGGCCCCCGTGAGGCCCTCCAGAGCAGGCGGTGCCCTCCCCCAGCCCAGGCTGGGAGTATCTGTTGCTAATAAACTGCTGGCCATCACATCTGTCCAGTGTCAGGTGTCCTGTGCTTGGCCATCTCACACTGTTTAGTGTGGGGCTTCTCCCTCACGATGGGGTACATAGGAAGTGGTCGGAATACCTCCCTTCCTGCTCTGGTCAGGTTGATTAGGTGCATTTGGCCCTGACCACTCTTTCCCTCAAGGTCAGGGACAGCCTGGCTCCGTCTTGGTGGCCCCAGAACCTTGCTTGGCCCATGGAATCGACTCCAGAAATGTGCGTGGACCAGATGGTTCCTTCACTCCCCTGCTCCACCCCCAGCTCTCCCAAAGCCCCTCCTCCAAGTCCTCGTCCCTCCAAGACTCATGGGACCAAGTAAACCCTTATAATCTAGGGCTCTGTCTTGCTTTCTCAGTCTTCTTTGTCCACACCTAGGCTGAGCTTGGGAATTCTGGACAAGCATTGATAGACCCCCAGGAGCCCTTGCAGAGACTTCCTCCAGAATCAATACCCCAAGGCCATTTAAATATTGTCTGAAACCAAGCCAGTCCCCCGCTCATCTCCCTCGCTCACCTCCAGATGATATTTAATTTTTCTCTAAATGAACTGGCCCAGTGTCACAGCACATTACTGCACTTGGGAACGTTCCTATCCCGATCCATGAGCCGCTGGCATGCCGAGCGATGGCACCGCTTTCCTCTAAGGACGTTTTCCCGTAACGTAGCTGATTAAAACACAGCTGACTGCGGGAGAGGCAGCGGCGCTCCAGGCGGCCGGGGTGAGCCGGCCGGACGCAGAGATGATGAATAACGGTTTGTGGCCAAACTGGTAACGCACCCGCTATCATATCGACCGGGGTTGCGGCTTCAGTTACTCGCGCTGAATTGCTAGGCTGGAGCTGAGTTCTGCGGGAGGCCTGGTTGCTGCCCTTCCTCTTTTGAAAACGTCCGTTTGTCTGAAGTTGGGTTCTTGCTCCTTCCTCCTGTCACTCCATTCCAATGAGCTGGCTATTTTTGCCGGTGGCCACCGTGGGAGTGTGAGTTTGGAACGCAGCAGAGCTGTGCATTCCATCTGCTGGCGCGTGTGCCCACCTCCCACGGGGTGCGTGCCACGTGCGCTGGGCGCCCCACATATGAAGCGGCAGCCTGTGGTCCAGGGGAGGAGACAGACACCCAGCCACGGGGTCGGTGCCGCCTCTTGAGGGCTTCGGCTCTGCGGCTGGTCTAGGGGTCGGCTTGAAGCCGGCCTCCTCCTCTTTGTAGCCGTGAGACCTTGAACCTGAGACCCCTTGACTATAAAGTGGTGTTGTTCCTGTACGCCCGTTAGGGTGTCACGGCATTAAATGGGCCACGTAAGGGGACTGTTTAGCACTGTGCTTGGTACCAAGTGAGCTCCTGCTACGTGGGCCTTGTCGTCGGGAGGCCTGTACAAGGGCCCCAGGGTGCAGAGGGAGCAATGACTACTGCCGCCAAGGTCAGGGCGGCTTCACGGAGGAGGCAGCCGGGAGCTAAGTTTTGTAGGGGAGGGTAAGGCTATGGGGCCAAGTCCTCGCACACTGCCAGGGGCTACCCTGACCTGTCTCCTCCATCAGCTCGTGCTCAGAGCAGCCCTGAAATGTGGAGGTGCCCATGCCCCCAGAGACAACTTCCGGCACCCAGTGGGAGTCGCAGCCTCCTGCTCCGTGGTCGGCGAGTCTGGGGCACAGTCCATGCGGCTCCTGGGGCCCCAGCAGGCCTGAGTCAAAGTCCCTGACACAACCTTGGCTGGTTTGTCTTGTGCTCCTGCCTCCTGGGGTCTCCCCAGATAAACAACACACATCTACGTCCTGGGCTCAGGTTCTGCTTCGAGGGAACCCAACTGAGGGAGAGGAACACACTCCTCACCATCCTACCCCCACGAGTCTGCCCTTCCCCCGGCCAAGTCTCGAGAAGAGAAAGGTGGACACAAGGCCCTCTCTGTGACAGGCACAGTGGGCAGGAGCTGTGCCTAAGAGGGGCAGGTCCAGTCCGCCCTTCCACTCCCACCCCCGGGAGAAGCCTGGGGGCTCAGAGCTCCCTGGAGGAGTAACTGGAGTGTCTCCCCCAAGACTGCAAGCCACCCTCTGCCTCACCACAGGCTTTAGCAGTGGGGGATGAGAAGGCTGGCCTCTGGTCCTCCGTCCCCAGGGCCCTTCCTCAGTTCCAAACCCAGCAGAGAGCACCTGCTGGGGCTGACTCACCCAATGCTGATTCTAGTCGGACTCCAAGTGTATCCATTACCTACTGCTGCAGGAAGACTGAGGGAAACTTAGCCCTCAGTGGCAGTCCACGTGGAGCACTGACTTTTACTCCCAAGGAGTCAGCATTTGGCAGGATGGTTCTGCTGCTGGGGGCTGGGCTTGGCTGACCGCAGCTGGCCCTGCGTGCACCTGCTGTCAGTTGGCAGGTGGCTGGGGGCTGACTGGGCTAGGACAGCCACAGCCGGTCTCCGCATCGCTGCCATGCTCCCCCAGGCTGGCCCGGGCTTGTGCTTATGGTGCTGATGGGGTCCCAGGAGAGAGTGGAGGCCGAGGCTCAGAGCTGACATTACCTTGGCCCCATCCTTGGGGCCGAAGCAAGTCAGGCAGCCAGCGCAGATTCAAGGGGTGGGGAACAGAATAGACTCCCGCATTGTCACAAAGGGTGTGGGTAGAGGGAAGGGTGGAGGACATCAGTCTACCACCAAAGGGTGAGACAGCCTGTCGTGGGGAAAAAGCCAGGTCCAGTCCCTGCCCTGATCCTCCTAGCTGTGTATCCCTGGGCTGGGTGCCGAACTTCATCTGCAAAAGGAGATGAAGGCCACTGTGAGGCTTCTTGTGTACTAGGGACAATTCATTCTTCGGACCAGCATTTACTGAGGGCATGCTATATGCTAAGCGCTCTCCAGGTACAGGGATGGAGCTGTGAATGGAACAAAGATGCATGTAGTTGGCACTGTAGCAGCAGGGGACAGACCACAGACAAGCAGCTCAGCAAGTAAACCACACAGAACATTACAAGGTGCTAAGTGGCAAAGTAGGGCAGAGAGGAGTAGGGGGCTGCTGGGGGGGCTGGGGGAGTGTGGGAAGGACACAGCCTGAAACAGGGTGTCAGAGCAGGCTTCACTGAGATGGTGACACTTGATCCCAGGCACAAAGGCGATGAGGATGTTAGCCGTGTGGTTATCTGGGACAAGAGCATTCCAGGCAGAAGAATGAGCTGGTGCAAAGGCCCTGAGGCAGGAGTGTGGCTAGTGGGTTTGGAGAACAGAAGACCAGTGTGGCTGGAGCAGAGTGAGTGAAGAGATGAGAGCAGAGAGGTGACAGGGCGAGATTGTGAAGAGCTTGGAAGCCTCCATAAGGGCATTTACTGGGTAAAATGGGAGCCCATAGTTTGGCTGCCATGTGTGAGAAAGCTGGTGGCCAGGTGGGGGCAGTGATGGGAGCTGGGGGTTGGGGGGAGTGCTGGCCCTCTCTGGGCGATTTTGAAGGGGAAGCCATGGATTTCCTGTGGATTGGTTGAGGCACGGTTGGTGGGGGGCGGGGATCCAGGAAGGGAGCACTTCCCAGAGCGCCTAGAACCTGTGAGTCCAGACAGAAGACGTGCACAACAGGTGTACCACAGCGGGGGAGGGGCCTGGGTTTGAGTCCCACCGCCACCACCTACTAGCTGTGTGGCCTCCATCAAGTCACTGCCTTCTCTGTGCCTCTTTGTAAAGTGAACTATCAATGATGCCCTCGTCCTCATGGGGCCCCATGAGGACACAGGGGCTAATGTCTGCAGCACGGAGTGGAGGACCCACTGAGCACCTGGCAAATGGGATCCAGAATTCCGGACAGGGATGCATCTGTGACATGGCATGGGAGCCCTGGGGTGGCGACTGGCCCTTCTCCCGGCCTGGCAGGGGCCCAGGGAGTGGGAGGCCCCCTGAGCTGCGGGTGGGCTCCCTGCCAGTCTCTCCCAGGTTCCCGGAGGGGCAGGGTCCTAGTTTGGGTCAAAGGACCATTGAGGCGCATGGAGATTTCCCCGTGAGTCTCTACCAAGTATTTACCACCACCAGGCCCAGAGTAAGCTGCTCTGCGTGCCGAGCAAATCGTGCGGAACCTGGGACCCCAGCCCTGGCATCACCCTTCTCCGAAGACCCCCTCCGACCCTCTACACCCCTCTGGTCCCCCACCCAGGCCAGACAGCCTCTCCCAGTGGTCGAAGCTCAATCCTGCTCCTGAAAGGTGACTCATTAAATGGACAATCAAATGCAAATTGGCGTGCACGCTTTTTCATAAGGCTTTTTATATAAGTAAATGGCTAAATCAGGAAAACATTTCTGGGCAGACCATCTGTCTCAATTTGAGCTTTGAGAAATATGGTCACCTAGCAATGTGCCCGAGTCAGACGCTAAAAACGAAATACGGGGCAGGCAAGGGAACATCACTCCTGCTCTGAAAGTGGGTTGCTTATCTCGGCTTCATGGAGCACTGAAGACTTCCCTCAGGCTACAGCCGCGGGGGCTGGGGCTGCCTGGGTGGGGGC